TAAATGTGAGTGATTAATGAGCGTGTGCTGTGTGTGTCCTCAGCGGCTCCGGATCTGGTGATCGATGCGCAGCTGGTGCAGGAGTCAGCGTATCTGGAGGACCGTCCGCTGCACCTGCTCACCTGCGCTCACGAGGAGAACTGTCTGTCGTCCTCCGCCGCGCGCATGAGCTGGCCCTACGGTCACCGGCGGCTGCTCTGGATATGGCTGAGTCAGACTTCCAGAATAACGTGATGCGCTGCCGCTGCCGCTACGACGGAGCACGCGTGTTTCTGTACGGCTGCCACGCCGGTGAGACTCACCTAAACTAACTCTAACCTAACCCTAACCTAACCAGCTCAGCTTCACTCGTCTGAAACCTCAGATCATCATCAGACCCGCTGCAGATCCCCAGAACACTCTGAGAGTTACACCACACTCTAAACATACGGTTGATTTCTGCTTCAAACCTACACTGCACAAAACATACAAATTAAGAAAGAAATAGAAACAATAGTAACTACATGAGAATTATAAAAACGTTTAGTGCTTTAGATGCCTGCCATTTGTTTTAAATATATCATACAAATAAATAATGCGTAAAATTAAAGTAACAAAAATATTTGTTAAGCTGTAAATAAAATATTATTGGAATATGTTTTACGAGACTTTCTTTCTAGGAGACCTGTAATATTACAGAAACATGAAAATACATGAATAAATACATTAAAAAATTTAATTAAAAATTTAATGAAAAGTTGTTTTCTGTGTTTCAGGTGACGCTTACAGCGCGGAGGCAGAGGACCTGTTTGAACACCAGCGTCAGATCTCGAACAACTTCCTGTGAAGCGCTGCAGGACTGACGCCGTTTCTCTGATCACCGCGTCACAGCTCTCGATGGGCGGAGTCTGCGTGTGGGGGCGGGGTTAGTGTGATGATTGACAGGCGGGTGTTTACACTACAGTTCGGCCAGTATAGATGCCTGCCATTTGTTTTAAATATATCATACAAATAAATAATGCGTAAAATTAAAGTAACAAAAATATTTGTTAAGCTGTAAATAAAATATTATTGGAATGTTTTACGAGACTTTCTTTCTAGGAGACCTGTAATATTACAGAAACATGAAAATACATGAATAAATACATTTAAAAATTTAAATAAAATGTTTACTCCAGGTAAAGTTTTGTTTTAAATAATAAAAATAGATCATGATTAAAATAAAAATATTTGTTTTATTTCATTCGTAAATAAATCAAAGATTATTGTATTACTTTTTAAAAGAAAATACTATTTTAGTGTTTCTTCAAAATGTCATGTTTAATTCAATGTTACGCGCTGTTTCTTTGTGAAACTTAAAACACTGCACATTTTCTAACTTCTATTTTAGTTTATTTATTAGTATTCTCATTTATTAGCTATTTATTTTATATTTGTGCACTGGATTACTGAAACGTAATTTTGTTTTTATGTGAAGCGTAAGAATGCTTACTAGAAATTTCTAAGTGAAATTGTTACATAGTAATTTTTTTTTTGTTACAATAAATAAAGTAATTAAGAATAAATTTCAAATAAAAAAGATCTTTGTTTTAAGCTGTAAATAAAACTCCAAAGATTATTGGAAAACACTACTTTGGTTTTTATACTTAGAAAACAACTTTTAATTAAACGTGCGATTTTTGTGTTTCAGGTGACGCTTACAGCGCGGAGGCAGAGGACCTGTTTGAACACCAGCGTCAGATCTCGAACAACTTCCTGTGAAGCGCTGCAGGACTGACGCCGTTTCTCTGATCACCGCGTCACAGCTCTCGATGGGCGGAGTCTGCGTGTGGGGGCGGGGTTAGTGTGATGATTGACAGGCGGGTGTTTACACTACAGTTCGGCCAGTATCGATGAAGCAGATCAGAAGAACTTCCTGCCGTTATAATGAAGGGATTTCATCTTGATGAGGCTCATATACCTATTGATTCATCTTCATCAGCCCTGTGAGATTCAGAGGAAAACATTTAAAAAACACGAATTTACAACATTGATTTGAAGTAAACGTTCTTTCACCAGTGTCATTCTTCCAGCTTCTTGTGCTCGTCATTCTCATATTCTATTTCTCACAATGTTGTTGTTTTTTTAAGTGTGGTTTAGTTTGCTCTGTTGGAGAGAAAACATGTTTATTCCCTGTTTTTTATTTTAAAATCTCTCTGTAGGTCAGCGGTTCTCAAGCAGGGTGACTTAAAAGTACTTTTTAAATATATTTGTAACATTTTCTTTAAATTATATTAAAATTAACTCTAAATTAAAAAGCTGATTTTTTTTTTTAATTAAAATAATCTAACTCAAAATGATAAAAATTACTTTAAAATATTTTCTATCTCTAAAAAAAAAAAGTAAATTATATAAATTCAAAACGTTTAAAAAAAAATTTTTTTTTAAAAAGTTTTTTCCCCCTTCAATAATTATTCTTTTATTGAAGAAAGTTTTACATTTTTTGAATCACAAAATGAATTATAGTTAATTAAATATATTGATACCCCAATTTCTGTTAATGAAAATGTTGAAAACAAGCTGCTTTGTCATAACTATTGATGAACATTGGGTTTGAAGAAGGACTTTTTACTCCGAAAGCTTGAGAACCGCGTCTGTAGATGATTTAAAGCCTCTCAGCCTTCGTTTCTGTGTATTTCTCTGGCCACTGGTGCTGATTTTAGTGGCTCATTTAGTCTTGAATATCATTATGCATTATTATAATTATTCCTGGCTCGAACAGAGCAGCAGAATCTGTGTTATAAAGGTTTCTTCACGGTTGTATCGGCATGCACGGGTTTGTCGGACCTCAGTTTTTCTCTCTGTGAAGAGAAACAGTTTTACAGATTGTGCTTCAATACTTGAAAAATAAACGTCTCGTGTCAAACAGAAGAAATATGATATTCCATACTGTATGAACCCAGAGATTCATGAGCTGACAACTATTATACTTCACATAAACTCACATAAAACCATTCATACGCACAGAAATGTCATAATTCTTGTCACCAGTGTCAATATCAGAAACTAATACTAGCCTAAAAAAACAAAACTCTGAAGTAAACAGTTAGTGATTAAATAAGAATCAGAGTAGAAAAAAAAACCTGAAAATGCTACATAATGTATAAATCAAATGTATAAAAACACTGCATATTCTTCACAGTGTAAATTAAATCTACATTTCTCCTTCTTAAAGTTAGAAGAGTGATTGAGTCAAGAGCAGTGAGAGATTAACATGAAGGACAGACAGCAGGAATATTAGACTGCTGTCACTTTAAGAGCTACCCGCGTCCAGTATACTGTTACACGTGTTTTCGTTCTCAGCGGTTTGCGTTCATTTAAGACCGAAATTACTGTTTACTACTTAGGCTACTTGCACATACAAGTGTGTATTTAACCGTTTAAGGCCTATAAAACGGCAAAAATAACTTCACGTGCACAAAATAACTCCGTGCGCATATAGCCAAACGAGCTCTTTCGTTGCTCATTGCGTTTCAAATGGCTTAAAATCACATGCAATGCTTAAAAGCGTGTGCAAACGATAAGTTTTCGTGACCACATAGCACAGCAACGTCACGTGAGCGTGTAACCGCGACAACAACAGTCGAAAATCTCTACCGGTTAACCGTATATCGCCCGCCCCTACTAACACATCCAAAACATGATCAGTTTCTGAAAGAGATTTAGAAGTAAAGCACACTGACTGACTGACCTCTGAATCGCTCCATCGGTTCATGATGACTCTGAAAGTGAATCGCTTCATTCGGAATGAATCTTTAAAACACTCAAGACACGGTCATCAGATGATTCCCCTGAACAGACAAATAAACAATCCACACGTGAACAGTGATTCACTTTAATCAAATAGCAAAAATAAATTAAAGAAATATAAATGGAAAATGAATGAAACATTCCGGAATGATGAAGCTCAAGGCAGAAGACATGAAGACGTATAAAACTAAACGTGTGTGTGTGTGTGTGTGAGAGAGTGTGCGAGTGATTGTGTGTATGTGTGGATTGTGTGTGTGTGTGTGTGTGAGAGAGAGTGTGCGAGTGATTGTGTGTGTGTGTGTGTGTGTGAGAGAGTGTGCGAGTGATTGTGTGTATGTGTGTGTGTGTGAAGTGTGTGTG